ATGCACTGCAACGACTCACACAACGCGTGTAATAGATCGGCATGGGGAAGACCAGGAGCGAGGAGGAGGAGGAGAAGGAGGAGGAGGAGGAGCAGGAGGAGGAGGATGAGGAGGGGGAGGAGGAGGAATAGGCGGAGGAGGAGGAGGAGGCGAAGTACGAGCAATCAAGGGTCAGAGGCAGGACGGGGAGGAGGAGGAAAACCAGGCGGAGGAGGAAGAGGGGGAGCGCGGGAGGAGGAAGAGAAGGCGGAGGAGGAAGGGGGGTCAGGAGCAGGAGGAGGAAGAACAGGCGGAGGAGGAGGAAGAGGAGGAGGAAGAGAAGCAACAGCAGCAACAGCAGCTGCATGGCCACGAAACCATGCTATTCACATGCTTGTTTGTTGTTTGGTCGGGGATGCCACCAAACACTGCTATTTATTGGTTTGCAGGAGATCTGTAAAGTCAATAGATTGCGCAGTGTCCCTGGCCAAAAACCCAAAACACATTTCAAAAACTTGGTTTCGTGACCACCCTCCTCCCGGAAGTCTATTTGGCGAAAGAAGAAGAGGAGGGAGAAGAGGAGAAGGAGGAGGAGGAAGGGAAGAGGAGGAAAGGAGGAGGAAGAGGAAGAGGAGGAGGAGGAGGAGGAACGGGGGGAGGGCGAGACAGAGAGGAAGCACAGCTATAGGTCCACACGGGGTGATGGGGGGGATCATCTATTCATGTTTATGTATGTATATATAATGTGTAAATATCTTTATATATATATGTACATATAGATTGTTGTTCTTTCTTGTCATCCCTCGTTTTGTCTTCAATCCACCTTTGCTGCAAAACGAGATCGACACGAAAGCGGCCCACGAAATCGCAAAAACACTGTTTAGGTCGATCCCGAGCCAAGAAGGGCCCTTGACAGGGATCGACCTACAGTCGAAATCTATAGTAAGGACGGACAGTAAAGACGCGAGGGCGTTGGACGCCGAAGTTGGCACCTGTGGGGCGACGGGCTGCCAACACCCTGAAGGGCTGGTCAAAGAACACCGCGAAGGACGGGCCGCAGGTGCAAGGACGCAAGGGTGCCCTGTGGACATCCGCGCGTCCTTATATGAGCTTTGTTTGACTGTAAACAATGTTTTCCGTTGTCGTTTTGATTTTGATTTCCCTCGTTCTGTCTTCAATCCGCCTTTGCTGCAAAAGGGAATCGAAACGCAAACGGCCCACGAAATCGCCAAAACACCGTTTAGGTTGACCCCTGGTCCTTAACCCTGTGCCGGCGAGAAGAATCTCGCAGAGATAACTCGGAGTCCAGGAAAGACAATAGATTTTTCCCCGGAGATATCGAGGGTAGGGTGTCTGGACCGGCCTTCAAGAGCCTCCATGATGGAGTCTCGATAATCCGTCTTGAGGGCCTGCCCGGAGATGTGGGAAGAGCACAACTCCAATGAAATGATGTGGAAAAAGCAAGCGTTCCAGTTGAGACATCCTCGAAAAGCTGATAGTCGCGAATTTGACGACTTTTCGGGACTGCGCGTTTCGCATGAGACATCCTCAAAGAACTGGCCATACTGATTACTCATGTGACTATGCATGATATGAAGATCAGAGCTACGAAAGAAACTTTGGGGGTGATACTAAAGATCGGCCTCCCCGCCTGCTGTGGATAAGCAGATACAAGGATACTCATAAGATCTAAGCCTTTAGGGGGAGTGCTCTTTATTATCGTCGGGCTGCAATTCTTTCAGAGTCTTGGCTGGACTCCTCGTCCTCCACCTCCTCGTCCTCCTCCACCTCCTTCTCCTCCTCATCCTCCATCTCCTCCTCCTCCTCCTCCTCCTCCTCCTGCTCCTCCTCCCCCTCCTCCCCCTCCTCCTCCTCCTCCTCGTCGTCGTCGTCCTCCTCCTCCTCCTCCAATCTCCTCCTTCTCGTCCTCCTCCGCTTCCTTGCAGGTTTTGCGGGAGGGCTAGAAGGGCGGTGTGAGCAGTTGTCGTTGCTGTGATCCCCCTCGTCCTTCTTCCTTTCCTTCTGTTCCTTCTCGGGCCTCCTCAAGGCGCTCCATCTCCTTCTCCTCCTCTTCCTCTACCTTCTCCTCCTCCTCCTCGTCATCCTCGTCATCATCACCATCATGATCATTTTCATCATCCGCATCCTCTTCTCTCTCGCATCCTCATCCTCTTTTCGTCCTCTTCACCTTCTCCTCCTCCTCCTCCTCCTCCTCCATATGTTCTACTCTCTCCTTCCCCTCACCCCATCCCTCCTTCACTCCTCATCCTTGTCCTCCCCCTCCTCCGCTTCCTTTCTACTCTCTTCTCCTCCTCCTCCTCCTCCTTCTCCACCAGGTCCTCCTTCTCCTGGGAGTGTCTGTGAGGGGATGAGATGGGAGGAAGTGGGAAGGTATGCACGAATTGGCGGAGGAGGTAGAGAAAGAGCAGGGAGGACGGGTAGGAGGGGAACGAGGAGAGCGATGACGACGATGGCGATGATGATGATGTTGCTGCTGGTGATGATGATGAGGATGACGCTGATGCTGCTACTGTTGTTGATGATGTTGAGATGATGCTGATGCCGATGACGATTCGGATGATGATGGTGGTGATGATGAGGATGTTGCTGCTGCTGCTGACGACGACGATGATGATGACGACGGCGACGACGACGATGATGATGCTGATGCTGATGCTGACAGTGATGATGCTGATGATGATGCTGGTGACGACGGTGACGACGATGATGATGGAGGTAATGTTGTTGGTGAGGATTCTGATGATGATGGTGGTGATGGTGATCAGAAGGGCAGTGCTGATATGTGCTCGAATGGGACTGGGGGGCGAGAAGGAGGAGGACGAGGAGGAGGAACAGGACGAGCAGAAAGGCGAACGAGGAGCAGGAGAAGTCCCGCCCGCGCCCCCCACCTGCGGCCCCGAGGGCGGCGAAGCTGGGGCAGCTGCGCCCTGGAGCGACCTCGGGCCGGAGGCGCTGGAGGGGGGGGAGGGGCAAAGGGCCCCCCATCCGCCCCTCCCCCTCCTCCTTCTCCTCCTCCTCCTCGTCTTCTTCTTCTTCTTCTTCTTCCTCCTCCTCCTCCTCCTCCTCCTCCTCCTCCTCCTCCTCCTCCTCCTCCTCCTCCTCCCCCTCCTCCCTGCCGCCGCTGTCGCTCCGCCGCCGCCGTCGCCGAGCGCCGTCGGCCGCCCCCAGCCGCGGCCGAGCGCCGGCCGCGGCCAGCCGCCTTCGCCGCCGCCGTCGTTCCGTCGTCGTCGCTGCCGCCGCCGCCGCCAGCGGCGCCGCCGCTGCCGCCGGCGGCGCCGCCGGACCCCCCGGCCGCGGCGAGAACGCGTTCTCGCCGCGCCCGGAGCCCTCTCCCCGCGCCTGCTCGCACGCGGCGCCTGCCGCTGTGTGAGGAGGGCTTGCGGGGCGCTCGTGGCCTCGGGGCCTTGGACGGACTCCCCGCCCGGAGAAGGGAAACGGGGACACACAAATGAATACACACAAATAAAGAGATTCCCCATATTTTCATATATTTTCTTGGTTTTTGTCTTCCCCACCCCTTCCCATATTTTCCAATATTTTCCTGGGGATCGACGATGAATTGTGTCTGTGTGTGTTTCCCCCTCCTGAGTGTCGCCCTCTCGCTCTCCCTCTCTTCCCGCGCCTCTTTGTCGCCGACCCGCGGCTCTCCCCGGGCCCTCTCCAGGGGGGCAGCGGTTTTGGGGGGGACTGGCCAAAGGGGGGGGATGCCTCGACCTGGACTCGGCGATGCATCGCCGATCGACCGGCGAGGGGCCGCTGATAGTGAGTCCGCGCCTTCCTGGGCAGGTCTGGCCATCGCTCGGACGTCCACTCCCTGTGCTTATTTTGGTTTCGTGCGTGGTTTCTTCGCCACATGATCAAGGATGCTCCTCGATGGTCCTCGCCGAAGGAAAAATGCACACGTCCGAGCGATGCCAAGCGACCTGGAATCGGCGATACATCGCCGATAGATCGGCGATGGGCCTCTGATAGTGAGTCCGCACCTTCCGGGCAGGTTGGGGCTATATCGGGCCCCTATCGGCGATCAGTGGGCCATTGTGGGTCGGTGCGGCTCCCCCTGTGCCCATCCCCCCTATCGTTGCCCCTGATCTCCCCGCGGCGTCGGGCTCGTATTGGCCTGGTTCAATGGAGATCCGGGTCAGTCAGGCTGTGCAGGATCCTGCAAGATCCTCCAGGATCCTGCAGGATCCTGCGCCCTACCTCTGGTCTGTGCATCCCTGGCTCCCCAGATCCCTGACGCCGTGATTTTTTCACAACGTCGACCCCCAGAGGTCTGGGCCCCTTCGTCCCCGGGACGGGTTCTTCATCCTGCGTTGTTTTTTGACAGCCCCAGGGCCCGGTAAGGGCCCCAGGAGGCCAAACATTCAGAAACACCTTCCGTCCTGATCTTGTTCACCACGCGAGGGGGTCTGGGCCTGCAGGATCCTGCAATAATTATCCGGCGCTCTGGCTGACCCCCGTTTTGCAGTGACCCCCGTCTCAAGAGCCTGTTTTTTATTCGGGCAAGTTTACTTGCATGGACGGTGGGGGGCCTGAGCCTGAAGCGAGCCAAAAACAACTCGACGTGCGGAAACCACGCAGGTCGAAGGCACTTGCACGCTCGCATTTGATCCAACAGGGCCGAGGGGGGCGAACGCCCTGCAAGTGAACCTGCCTGCATCTAAAGAAGAACAGGCTCCATTGGAGCCTGTTCATCTTTACGGTGCGGTGACAGACCCTGCGGTGACCCCGAACCCCAAGGGACCTCACCGCACGGCCCGTCACCGCGCGGTCTTAGAAACCCCAGAGGCCCCTGTCGCCCGAGACGTCCTCGGAGAGGGCCTCGAGTCCCAAAACCGTGCGGTGACCCCGAATCCCCACCGACTCACCGCACGGAGGAGGAGGAGGAGGTGAGGAGGAGGAGGAGGGGGCCCCCGTCCGGCGGGCCTCGGGCCGCACCCTGGCGCCGCGGCGGCGTCGCCCGGGGGCGCCGCGGCGCGGAGCTCCGCCGCGGCGGCGTCGCCCGCCTTCCGCCGCTTGGCGCTGCGCCAGCCGCCGCGCTGTGGGACGGGCGCCGCGGGCGGGTCCTGGGCGCCGCGGGGGTCGTCGCCGGCGGCGGCGATGCGCTGCAGCTCCACCTCTGGGGCGTGCCCCTCCCCCGTGCTGCTGCCCCAGCAGCAGCCTCACGGGGGGGGGGGATGGATGGCAGAGCGGAGGAAGGGAGAGGAAGGGAGGGAGGGAGGGAGGCATGGAGGACGAGTGAGGAAGGAGGAGGAGGAGGAGGAGGAGGAGGGAGGAGGAGGAGGAGGAGGAGGAGGAGGGAGGAGGAGGAGGAGGAGAGAGAGGAGGAGGAGGAGGGAGGAGGAGGAGGAGGGGAGGAGGAGGGGGAGGAGGGGAGGAGGAGGAGGAGGAGGAGAAGGGAAGGGGGAGGAGGAGGAGGAGGAGGAGGAGGAGGAGGACCAGTGTAAGCCAAAGAAGCATCAACGATGTTGGAATACGCCCCTCCAAGCTCCCTCTTCATAGGCCCCTAGAACGGTTCAGTTCCAGTGAGGGAACTGCCTCGTTGGAAGACAACCGTTCGAAGACCCTGCACATGCCAACGTATTGCTCTCGGGATTACAACGCCTCTGATCAACCTGACTGTTGCGTCTGGACGATCCTGAATCGTGCCAGAACGCCATTCCTGGGACTTCAACACCGCGAATCAACATAACTGTTGCACCCTCATAAAATCCAGAATCCTTCCAAAACGCAACTTCTGATACGCTGATCATGGGGACCCGTGAAACTCCTCCAAGTTTTAGAGAACGAGTGTGCGCGGCGCTAAGGCGAGAGTCACATTTTGAAAACGGCCCGCCCCCTATATGTGGAACTCTTGAAACATATGTAAAACAAATGTGCGCGGCGCTAATGCGAGAGCCACATTACCACCCGAAATCAATACCTGAAGCTCCTGCAATTGTTTGAAAGGAATATGCGCGGCGCTGAGGCGATAACCACATTTTGAAAGCCACCCGCCCTTTATCTGTGGTGCTCTTGCAGCTACTGAAAAAACAAGTGCGCGCGGCGCTAATGCGAGAGCCACATTACCACCCGCCCTCAATCCGTGAAGCTCCTGCAATTGTTTGAAAGGAATGCGGCGCTGAGGCGATGACCACATTTTGAAAACCAGCCGCCCTCTATCAATGGAACTCTTGCACCTATCTAAAACGAATGCGCGCAGCGCTAATGCGAGAGCCACACTACCACCCGCCCTCAATCCTTGAAGCTCCTGCAATGTGTTAATCGAATGTGCGCGGCGCTAATGCGAGAATCACATGTTGAAAATGCCCCGCCCGCCATCTGTGACGCTTTGTTAATTATCAAGCTTCAGGGTCGCCTGCACTAAACACTGGCCTTGGGGTGCGACAGGGAGTAATTATTTATAAAGAACACGGAATGGAGGAGGAGGAGGAGGAGAAGTAGGAGGAGAGAGGAGAAGGAAGAGGAGGAGGAGGAGGAGGAGGAGGGATGGGGGAGGAGGATTGGGAAGGAGGAGGACGAGGAGGGAGAAGGAGGAGGAGGTGGATGAGGAAGAAGGAGGGAGGAGGATAATGATGATGAGGAGGAAGGAGGAGAAGGTGGAGGCGCTCCTCTCCTCCTCCTCCTCCTCCTTCTCCTCCTCCCGCCCGCCGCCCCCTTCTCTTTTACAATGATCCTGATATGTTTCCTCCTCCACCTCCTCCACCTTCTCCCCCACACCTTGTCATCCTTCTCCTCCTGCTCGCTTTTCTTCAGAAGGATGTGGGATGGAGAAGAGAATGAGGAAGAGCAGAAGGAGGGAGATGGGACATCTGTTTTCTTATCGCTGTCTTCTCCTTCCTCCACCTCATCATAGCCCCCCTCGTTCTTCTCGCCGGTCTCGTCCCCCTCGTCTTCCTCGTCTCCGACGCCTCCCTCGTCCCCGTCGCTCCCGCGTCCTCTTCATCCCCGCTTCCCTCCTGTTCTTCCTCCCCCTCGCGGCAGTGTGGCTGGAGCCCAGATGTCGCCATGAGGCCATCTAACATCTGCCCCCATCGTAGGAAGCGCACTTGCGCAGAAGGTGGACCTCCTTGGATTGTCTTTAAGCAAGTGGGTGCACACACTAGCATAAAAGATGTGCGCGAAGGACGCATCACGGTTTTTGCGTATGGAGGTAACAAGGTTGCCAATCGGGTGACCAAACAACTAGGCTGGCGAGGAGAGACCCGCCGGTCGTTTTCATGTCGAGGTGCATGCTTTCCTTGGCAGGGGCCCTGCTCCGATTCAGCAGCAGGGCCGAATCCCATTACGCAGATCTTGGAGTTTTGTTTATCCTGGGAGCCCAAAGTCTCACCATGATCTCGTCAGAGGGCGGTGCCACGAGGGAGGAGGGAGCTGTTAGGAGGCTGCGGCTGCTACTGCTTCCCCTCCGCCTGACCCCTCCCCATCGGCTGGCAGCCCGAGCGAGCAGCGGGGTCCAGAGCAGGTCTCGATGGCCATAGACTCGGACCAAGCACCCTGAGCTTCCAGGGGACATCGTTTGCTGGAGTTTGATGCGGTGGCCGAAGGCCAACCACCGATTTTGGTCTGCTCCGCTTGCGGAGCCCTTGGAGGATGGAGCGAGCGCCCTGAAGACCAGGGCCTCGGTACCGACTCAGTCGGCTGATAGATCCTCCAGGGGGGGCCCTGTCGCGGGTCATGGGCAGGTCTTTAGCCGTCCTGCCTGTGGTCGACACAGGTCCACTTGGATGGGACCCCCTGGGAGGAAGCGTGGTCGGACTGTCGGACTTCTCTCTCTCTCTCTCTCTCTCTCTCTCTCCCCCCCTTTCCCCTCAGTGGCGTGCGATCCTCCGCCTCCTCCTCCTTCTCCTCCTCCTCCTCGAACGCCTCCCTACCTCCACCATCCTCGTCATCGTCCTCCAGTTCCTGTCGGCCTCTCGATGGCATCTCCTCCATCTGCCTTTTTTTGTTCCCCCCTTTTTTTGCTGTCGCTTCTCATTATTATTATTGTTCTTGTTCTTCTTACTACTATTATTATCCTTCTTCTTCTGCTTCTTCGCCGCGCCGCCAGGCGAGCCGGCAGGGCGGGCCAGGCGCGTCGGTTTTTTTTTGTGCTCTCGCAGCCTGGGCGCGGAAAGAGGGCGGGAACGTCTTCGAGAGCGCGCGCCCTCGCCGTGCACTTCCTCGGAAGGGCCCCCCCCCCTCACAGCCTACGATTCTCAAGCCGAGACGGCATCCAGCACCTGCGCGGCAAGAGGGTGGGAACGTCTTCGAGAGCGCGCCCTCGCCGCGCCCTTCCTCGGAAGTGCCCCTCCCCCCCAACGGGACTGTCGTGCCCCCCAGCCGCTGCACGGACGGATATCGAGGGCGGGAGCTCTCTGCGAGGCCGCGCTGCTCGCCAAAGAAGTCCTGACACTGCCTGCTCCGCGAGGGCTCTCCTCCGGCAGCCAGGCGGATGCAGGGCACCTCCCTCTCAGCTCTGCGCCGTCGCTCGTCTTGCCCAAGCATAGCCAGCCCCGAACGTATCCCTATCCCTGAGATTAACAAGCCAAAAGTCGACGACAATCTTAGGGATGCGCCCTCAGAGACGGAGGGAATCCCTAAGATCGGCATCGAGATGAGGCGACGCCAATCATAGGGATAGGGATATGTTCCAGGCTGGTGAAAGCAGTGCTTTGCACCGAGGGCCTCCCATCTGGTTTTGAAGGAATTGGCTGGGTGCTCCGGGTTTTCGCCCCGTGCCCGTCCGCGCCCGTGCCGGCCAGGCTACCTGTCCATCTGGCGGCCGCCGCCTCGTCGTCGTCGTCGTCGTCGTCGTCTTTGTCGTCGTCGCCACTGTCCGTGGGCGCAACGCTGGCTGGGTCTTCCGGGCTCTCGCCCCGTGCCCATCCATGTGCGCCTCATGGGCGCCTCGTGCGCTGGCTGTGCGTTCTGGTTTTCGCTCCGTTGCCCGCTGGTGAGCGCCTCGTGCGCTGGCTGGCATGCCACGAAGCACTCAGACGGGTGCACCGCGTAGATTGCACCACGTCGCTTTCTCCACGTGGGGCCGACTTCGGAAACCCTGAGGCCAAAAGGGTTGTCAACTCTTGGGGGCCCATGCCATTTTTTACTTCCGCCACCTTCCGCCGCCTTTCCGCCGGCGGAGGCGGCCCCGTGTTACTTCCGCCGACCTTCCGCGGCCCTTCCGCCGCCTTCCGCCGCGGAAGAGATGACAATTCCTTCGATCCTCGAGAACAGACCCTTTCTGGAACGCTCCATGTGTTGCACGACGACCACATGGGTTGTGCCACACATGTTGCGCCACAAAGACTGCATAACGCGTAACACACGGTTTGCACCACGCTGGTTCCTCCAAATTGATTGCTTGGCAACGTTGCACAACTTATATTGCGCGTCGGTTGCACCCACTACGGCCTGCATGGCATAGCTTGTGCTGAATAGCTTGCGCCACATACCTATAAGACCACCCTTCGGGTGATAATCAGGTTGAAGGGGTGCAGCTTTCGGCTTGCGATTGGCGTCGGAGTGGGTGCGCGATCCATCTTGATATCGCTAGACAATCATGTCCGGATACGGGTATCTACTATCTCTAGGCGGGACACCACGAGACAACGATGGGACAACCGCGGGCAACCGCGCGACAGCCAGGGGAAAACGACGGGACAACGACGGGGCACCTCCACGGGACACCCCCACGGGACAACCCCACGGGACAACCGCAGGACAACCACGAGCAGCCGCGGGACAGCCACGGGACAGCCGCGGGACAACCCCGGGGACAACCACGGGACAACGGCGGGGCATCCCCCGCGCACGCCCCTCACGCCGGGGGGGGGGAGGAGGCACAGAGTCCTCCCCCGGGCCTTGCGAGGGCAGGGTGTCGCGCAGCTTCGCCTCGCCTCGCCCGCGCGCGCCACGGATGTTTTTCTCCGGATCCAGCAGCCTCCGCCTCCTCCTCCGCCTCCTCCTTCTCCTCCTCCTCCTCCTCCTCCTCCTCCTCCTCCTCCTCCTCCTCCCCTCCCTCCTTTCCTCCCTCCCTCCCTCCCTCCCTCCGCGATTGTGTTCGTACAATGCGCGCCACGTGTCACCGCAGCGTCGCCCGAAGCTGACTGACGAGAGCAGCCTTGGGCGGGCACAGCCCCCAGCCCGCCACCCATGGCAAACCATTTATTTGCATAGTTGCTGCTAGTTGCCGGATGCATGACACCTGCGTTTTGAATAGTTGCCGACCATTGTGTAGAAATGAATGTGATATTAAAACTTTTGTTTCTGAACAAAGCGATGGCAACTGCGAGAAACGCAAGCGGCAACTATCCGGCAACACGCCAGCAACAATCTGGCAACGACCGGCAACTGTGCTAAAAATAAGGTCGGCCAGAGGATGGGAGCTGGGCGCTCGCCCTTTGCCGGCGCCGCGAACAATCCAGAGCGTCGCCGCGGCGCGCTCCACGCGAGCAGGGTCTCCGCCCGAAGCTCCCCGGGTCTTTGGGGCCACCCCCCGCCTCGGCCATCTCCGCCCGGCGCGCGCCCGCGCGCTCGGCCGCGCCCGCCTCCGCGCGCAGGGGCTCAGCGCGGGGCGATCTCCAACTGGCGCCCATCTGCTCCGCGAAGTGCCCGGGCGCGGTGGGCGGCGCCGCGTCAGTCGCCCGAACAGCTCTTATCACGTCCTCGATGTGCAGTTCCGCCCCCCTTCGCCCGTTGAATAAGGCGGCACCAGGCAGAGTGCGGCGTCCGGAATTTCACGACGGCCAACTGCGTCTTGCGACCGCGCGTCTCCGCTCGGGCGCGCTTCCGCGCAGTCCCGCGGAGCGCGCGGCGCAAGGTCGCGATGTCGGGGCCAGGCAGGCCGCGGGCCGCCCGCGCGCACTCGAGGAGCACGCGCGCCCCCACCGGGCCCCCCCCCCGCAGAGTGCAGCGCGGCGGCGCGGTCCAACTCTGCGTTGGACACGCGCGGGGCCATTCCGCGCGAGGGCGGAAGCGGCGCGCTACGGCAAGGCCCAGAAAATCTCGGGGCCGAGAGTCGGGATTGAGCCGAACGGCCGCGGATGATGGATTGCAGACACCATTATCGTCTCAGTGGCGCAATCTACGCGGTGCAACCTACGTGGTGCAATCTATGTTGCGCAAGCTACGTGGTGCAATCTACGTGGCGCCAAGAGTGCGAAGCGCTCTATGTGGCGCAAGCCACGCGGTGTCATCTGCGTGGCGCATTTTATGTTGCGCACAGAAAGTGGCGCAAACGATGTGGCGTGTAATGTTGCGCAAGTTAAATAGTACAGTAGAGGTGGTGCCACGTACGCGGCGCAATTTAGGTTTCGCAAGCAATGCGGTGCAACAGTATGAGTCGGTTGGAAGCTACCTGGCGCAATCTGCGAGGCGCGTTTTGTGCGGTTACAGCTAGGCGGTGCCATCGATATGCGGCGTCGGCTGCGTGCACAGTTTGCGCGGCAAAAGCTACACGACGCAATCAAACTGAGCGTGGCCCAAATACAGCGCCTAGAAGACGGCGCAAGAGCGCCCCCCGCGCCCCAAATTTCAATGTTCATCTAAGGGAGCAGGCTGCTGTTTGCAAATGTGGGTGTGTTCTTTTTGAATCGACTCGCACTCCCCCGCGTCGACCGCACCGAACTCTGGCGAAATCTACCTTGCGCGAGATATCGACGAGGTGCACTTTGCGCGGTCTAGGTGGCGCCGCGTACGCGGCGCGGCGGAGATGTCAAGGGCGCGGCCCCGCCACCGCCGCGGAAACCATGTCCAAACCTTCTGTTCGGACTGCAGATAAGTCCGGGCAGGCGGCCGTCGACGCGGTCTTGGTTCCTGGCGCCGTTTCGGTCTGGCCCCGGCCGCGGGGCCGGTGGCCGGGCGAGCGCTCGAACGCCCGCCCCGCGAGAGGGAGGGGGGGGAGAGGGGGAGGCGACGCGGCCCTGACGGCCAGCGCTGCGGCGAGAGCACCATTCCGATCAGGCCGCGTCGCCGATGAGTGGCAAGGGCGTTAACGCCATTGCGCGTGCAGTCTTAGGTACCACGTTCGCCCGCCACACGCGCGCGCGCGCGCGACTCGCGCGCGCGCGCGCTCCGCCCGCGACCCGCCACTGGGCCCTGCGGCCCATCTAGATCGCGAGCAAAACGCACCTGGCAAGTTTTGAACTCCTGGTGCGACTTGAAAGCAGCGGCTGCGGACGCCCTCGGCCCGCGCGGGGTCGGCCCGAGCTGGGCTGGGCAATGGCGAGCCAAGCACTGCTGGACATGCCTTGAAGCAGGTTGGCAGGGCACCAAAAATGCGGCGGGGTTGGCGGCCGGCCGCGGGCCGGGCCCCCAGCCCGCCACCCATGGCAGACCATATTTGTTGCACAGTTGCCAGGAGTTGCCGGGCAATTGCCAGATAGTTAACACCTGCGTGTTGGATAGTTGCCGACCATTCTTTCTTATATTTTTAACATAATATTAGAATTCCTTATTTCTGGACAGAGCGACGGCAATTGTGCAAAACGTAGGCGGCAACTATCCGGCAACTGGCCGGCAACTATCCGGCAACTGTGCTAAAAATGAGGTCGGCCAAAAAATAGGAGCTGGGCGCTCGCCCTTTGCCGCCATCCCCCCTCCTCGGCCATCTCCGCCCGGCGCGCGCCCGCGCGCTCGGCCACGTCCGCCTCCGCGCGAAAGGGCTCGGCGCGGGGCGATCTCCAACTGGCGCCCATCTGCTCCGCGAAGTGCCTGGGCGCGCTGGGCGGCGCCGCGTCAGTCGCCCGAACAGCTCTTATCACGTCCCGCCCGTTGAGTAAGGCGGCGCCGGGCAGAGTCCGGCGCCCGGAATTTCACGACGGCCAACTGCGTCTTGCGACCGCGCGTCTCCGCTCGGGCGCGCTTCCGCGCAGTCCTGCGGAGCGCGCGGCGCAAGGTCGCGATGTCGGGGCCAGGCAGGCCGCGGGCCGCCCGCGCGCGCCCGAGGAGTGCGCGCGCGCCTCCACCGGGCCCCCCCCCGCAGAGTGTAGCGCGGTGGCACGGTGCAACTCGGCGTTGGACACGTGCGGGGCCATTCCGCACGATGGCGGAAGCGGCGCGCGACGGCAGGACCCAGAAAATCTCGGGGCCGAGAGTCGGGATTGAGCCGAGCGGCCGCGGATGACGGATTGCAGTCACTATTATCGTCTCAGTGGTGCAATCTACGCGGTGCAACCTACGTGGTGCAATGTATGTTGCGCAAGCTACGTGGTGCAATCTACGTGGCGCCAACTATGCGAAGCAATCTATGTAGTGCAAGCCATGTGGTGTCATCTATGTGGCACATTTTATGTTGCGCACAGAAAGTGGCGCAAATGATGTGTGTGTGTGTGTGTGAAAGCTATGCCGCGCAATTTGAATGGTACAATAGAGGTGGTTGTCACGTACGTGGCGCAATTCAGATTGCGCAAGCAACGCGGTGCAATGAATATGAGTGGGTTGGAAGCTACCTGGTGCAATCTACGAGGCGCGCTGTGTGCGGTTACAGCTAGGCGGTGCCATCTATGACGTGCCGCAAGCTATGCGGCGTCGGCTATGTGCACAATTTATGTAGTACAAGCTACATGGCGCAATCAAGCTGACTCTGGCGTCTTCGAAAAAAAACGCCCAAATACAACGCCTAGTTAGAAGATAGCGCAAGAGCGCCCCCCGCGCCCCCAATTTCAATGTTCATCTAAGGGAGCGGGCCGCGGTTTGCAAATGCGGGCGTTTTTTTTTTTGAGTCGACTCGAACTCCCCCGCGTCGACCGCCCCGAACTTTGCAATTGGGGCCGAGGGGGGTGGACCCGCTTCAACACGCATTCGAGGTGGGCGTTTTTTCGAAAACCACGGTAGTAACCGTACTAGGCGAGCAGGTGCGCAAGAGTGCTACCCGGGCAGTCGCCCTCCCAAATTCAGACCTTGTTGCAGGCCCACAATTCCCTTACCATTCCAGTGTGCGTTCGCCGCAGGGGAAGGCAGCGTATGAGTGCACTTACACATGGCGGCAGACGTGGGGCGTGATGGCGTGATGAGGCGTTGATCATCAATGGTGTGCGCCGGGCTTCCCCTGGTCCGCCTCCCCCTCCTCTTCCTCCTCCTCCTCCTCCTCGTCCTGCTTGTCCTCTTCCTCCTCCTCCTCCTCCTCTTCTTTCCCCTCCTCCTCGCCTCCTTCTTCTCTTCCTCCTTCCCCCGTCCCCCCTCAACCCGCCCCCTTGTTCCTCCTCCTCCTCCTTTTCCAATTCCCCCTCCTTACTTGTCCTCCGCCTTGCTTCTCATCCTCCTCTTCCTCCTTCTCCTCCTCCTCCTCCTCCTCCTCATCCTTCTCTTCCTTCTCCTCCTTGCTCGCCGTCGCCACCGTTGCGGTCGTGGCCGCCGCCGTCGCCGTCGGTGGCGCTGCCCCCGTCGTCGCCGTCGGTCCTTGACGCGCACGGGGCCCAGCTCCAGGACGCTGCCGTCGGCCAGGGGCGCCCACTCGCTGCCGAGCCTGTTGCCGTCCAGCAAGGTGCCTGCCTGGTGGGCGTCGCCGTCGTCGTCGGAAGGGGAGGAGGAGGAGGAGGAGGAGGAGGAGGAGGAGGAGGAGGAGGAGGAGGAGGAGGAGGAGGAGGAGGAGGAGGAGGAGGAGGAGCAGGGGGAGGAGGAGGAGGAGGAGGAGGAGAATAGGAGGAGGAGGAGGAGGGGAGGAGGAGAGGAGGAGGAGGAGGAGGAGGAGGAGGGAGAAGGAGGAGGAGCGACCGTACCGCATGAGTTCGAGTCACGGCGCGGCAGCGAGCTAGCGGCCAATGGCTGCATTCGCAGCTGCAAGGATGGTGTAGTGAAATGTGGGTGTACAGGGGACGCTCCCTCGCACATCATACTCTACCTTGAGTTTACGATATATGTGAAACGCCAAGACAGTGATCCGATGCAGACGCTCACGAGGGTACTCTCGCTCTGGATCAGGCTCCATGCCCAATCCGAGGCGAGTAATGGGGGAGGCGGGCAAATGGCCACGAGGGAGCGCCAGAAGGTGGAGCAGGCGAGGACAGGAAATATAGTGGCTGAAAGCGTCACGCGCCGGAGACTCGCGTCCGAACAGACAGGGCCTCTCGGCTATAGCTGGGAGGCGCGCCGAAGGGGTCCAGGCGCCGGCGAACGTCTCGAGGCAGGCCCATGTCCAAGATGGCGGAGTTCTCGCCAGAATCCTCTGGAGCGCTGCCCATCGCTGCCTGATCTCATCGTCAGGGAGTTGAGGGAGGTGGGGGGGCCAAGAACAAATGCGACGACGAAGGAGGGAGGGCATGAGATCAGGGAACAAGGAAAGCGGGAGCGGAGGAGGAGGAGGAGGAGGAGGAGGAGGAGGACCAGCGTAAACCCAAGACTCATCAACGATGTTGGAATACACATCCCTCCAAGAGCCCTCTTCACAGGCCCCTACTTAAGGGTCATGTTCCACTGAAGGATTGGTCCTGTTGGGGGACAGCCGTGTGAACATTTTGAAGCGTGCCAAAACACCATTCTCAGGACTTCAATGCCACGTAATAACCAGACTATTACGTCCTGACGATCCTGAATCGTGCCATAACACCATTCCTGAGACTTCAACACCGCGGATCAACATAACCGTTGCGCCCTGACAGTCCTGAATCGTTCCCAAACGCCGCTTCTGGTACGTTCACCATGAGCACCAATGAACCTCTTGCAACTGTGTTAAACCGAATGTGCGCGGCGCTAAGGCGAGATTCACAATTTTAAAACGACCCACCCTCAACCCGCGAAGCTCTTGCAAGTTGTGTAATGCGCGCGTACACGGCGCTAAACGAACGCCACATTTTGAAAACCACCCGCCCCCAATCCGTGAAGCTCTTGTACGCCTTTAAAACAAATATGCGCGGCGTTACGGCGAGAACCACATTTTGGAAACGATCTGCCCTCAATCGGTGAAACCCTTGCGGTTGTTTAAACCGACTGTGCGCGGTGCCAAGGCGAGAGTCACATTTTGAAAACCACCCGCCCTCAACCTGCGAAGCGCTTGCACGTTCTTAAAACGAATGTGTGCGGCGCTAAGGCGAGAATCACTTTTTGAAAGCCACCCGCCCTCCATAGGTGAAGCTGTTGTCAGTTTTTAAGCACCAAGGCCATCAATCAATTGCAGGGAAATCTCAGGCGAAACGCCCGGCCCGCCCTTTCAGCCGGCCTTGGGGTGCGACAGGGAGGAGTTATCTGTAAGGAAGAGGAGAGGAGGAGGAGGTGGAGGAGGAGGAGGGAGGAGGAGGAGAAGGAGGAGGGAGGAGGAGGAGGAGGAGGAGGAGGAGGAGGGAAAGCTGGGGTTGGAGGGTGATCGAGCCAGCCAGCCCGAGCGAGTCAGAGGGCCTCGACCGCTCCCCACCCCGTGCCAAAAGACTAACCGTTGCTGGCGCAACCTGGGCCTCAGGCCTCGCGCGCGTGCGCGCCGAGCGAGCGGGAGGCGCTGACGCGCGCGCGCGCCACCCCGTCTCCGACGACATGGCGACGGGGGGAAAACCATGGGCCGCGTACAGGCAGGAGCGGGACGATCCGCGGCGCCATGTCGGAATCCTGAATCGTTTTTTATATGTTGTTCGTTTTGCTTGTATTATTCGTATTGTTTGAAAGATTCTCGCGACGGCACGGGCGAGAGGGCGTTCGAACGATTTCGGCAAGCGCGCGCAAAGCCTGTGTGGTAGTATCCTTTGAATCAGTTCAAAACAAAACCGATGGTTTTCTCAATAATTCGCAAGTGCGCGCACATTTTTCTTTTTTGTTACAAAAAAACGTCCGCGTTGCGAAACCATGTTTGTTGACGTGTGTTTTGACGCTCGATTTTGCAATCTTTCCGGAACGTTCGGTTTTTGTTACAAAATTTCGGCATCCGCGCGCGACGGCGCGCGCGTGTGCACTTCGTTTCATTCGTTGCAAAAGGACGCTTTAACACTTATGATGTTTGATAAACGAGTGTGCGCGCATAGACTGTTTGGAAGAGGATGATGGGGGGTGTCGAACCTGGCTCGGCTGGGACGGTACGAGTTCATATCTAGGATGGACGATGAGGCAGAACCATACCTAAATTGCAACACGAAAAGGGTGTATCGATAAAGCCGGGCGGGGGGTAGAGTCTACTCTCTTTTCAGTAAAGAGAATATCTGTGGTGCAATTCATCAATGCTCAACTTGAAATTGTTCACTCCACTGAGTGCTCTCGCAGACATCCCACCCACCCACCCGCAACTTGGTTTAGAAACCCCATTCGGCGGCGATTGCGATGAGTGCTTGGCGCTGGCTGATGCATCTCTGCGGCCGAAACAGCCCGCGCATGCACGCGCGCGCATGCACTTTGGCGCGGCCGACGCAGCCGCGGTGGCGCTGACCGCTGGGCACATCCCAGCGGGCACTTCAGTGCAAGTCGGCGACTTTGGCGGGCGCGGTTTCATGGCAACGTCGACAACGGTAGAAACGGTGATGATTGTAGCGATGCTGGTGACGATGCTGGCAGCGACGGCCACGGCCAAGGCGGGCGCCGATGCTGATCACGCCGACGACGATGAGGGCGTCCTCGCGTCGATGATGACGGTTTTGGAAGGAGTTCGACATGCGCGCGCGGCCGACGCGCGAGTGGCCTGCATGGTTGCATGTGACACGGACCGTGCCCCCCCCCCAACACGCGCGCAAAGGCGCGCGAATGATGTCGGCATGCAGCACCGGAAGCCCGTTTGGCATAATGTTCTGCAGATGTGAAAAAAACCGATGTTTTCATCAAGAATTCGAAAGAGCGCGCGCAAGCTGTTTTTGAAAACGGATGTTGCGAAACCTTGTGTTTTGTTGTTAGGGGCATTCGGTTTTGAAATCGTTACGAAACGAAACCGACGGTTTTTGAAGGATTCCGGCATGCACGCGCGACGACGCGCGCGCGCGTGCACTTCGTCCCGCTCTTTGCAAAATATTCTCGCGACGGCGCGCGCGCAAGGCCGTTCGAACGATTTCGGCACGCGCGCGCGCGAAGCCCGGCACGCACGCGCGCGAAGCCCGTGTGGTAGTAGTTTCTGAAACTCTTGAAAACAAACGCATGGTTTCTCAAGACTTCGCAAGAACGCACACGTTTTTTTGAACATCCGTGTTGCGAACCCGTGTTTGTTTGCCTGTTTGGGGGGCACTAGATTTTGAAATCTTTCCAGAACGTTCGGTGTTTGAAAGATTTCGGCATCCGCGCGACGACGCGCGCGTGCGCACTTCGCCGCAGTTTTGCAAGGGAATCATGAAAACTGATACATCTGAAAGACGAGTGTGCGCACATAGTATGTTTTGCAGAGGATGGTGGGGGGGGGGGGGGGGGGGGGGGGGGGGGGCGGTGCCGGCTGGGCTGGGATGGTATGGGGTCATATTTAGGATGGGCGATGGGGCAGATTTGCATGTACATTGCAACGCGCAAACGTGCACCGATAAACCCAGGGGAGGGGGATCCGAATCCCACCAGCCCTCTGGGCGACAGGTGGTCTAACGAGCTTCCTCTCCACTCTTCCAAATCCCCTTCTTCCCCTTCGGGAGGAGTTTATCATTGCTCCCTATTAATATGCACCCCCTCCCCCAGGCGACTGGGATCCAACCTAAAACCACGCGGGGCCCCCCACCACCCCTTTGTAAATAATCAATACGAACGCACACTTTGCCTCCAAATTCGGAGCATGCGCAGCGAACCCGATGCGGCCTCCCCCCACCATCCCTGTCAAAAAACAATGCAGAGTACACTTGGCGGCGGCGGCGGCTGCGGCGGCTGCGGCGGGGGCAGCGGCTGCGGCGGCTGCGACGGTGGCGGCGGCGGTGGCGGCGGCGGCGGGCGGCGGCGGCGGCGGTGGCGGCGGCGGTGGCGGCGGCGGGGCAGCGGGGCGGGCGGCGGCAATGGCTGCGGCGGAACGCGCGCGCCGGCGATCGGCAGCGGGGGGCGGCGGGCGGCAGCGGCGCGCGGCGGCGGCGGACAGCGCGCGGCGGCGGCGGCGCGGCGGAGCGGCGGCGAGCGGCGGCGGCGGCAGCGGCGGCGGCGGATTCGCCCCCAGTAGCTGCCCATCCAAAGACGACTGCTGAATATGCTGCGGCTCGGGCCAGGCTCGGGTGCCACGTATGTGTTGGGAGGGCGGGCGGGAGTGAGCGAGACGGCTTGCGGGCGGGGAGGGAGTCTTGACCCCTCCCCCTACCACTTCCCCTGGACCTGGACGGGGGGGGCGCGACGCGTTGGAGGCATTTTTTTTCTGCCATTGGGAAGGCAATGCTTACCGCCCCTCACGTGGATCGTGGTTCCCGGGGGGGGCGGAGATAAAGGAACCCCCACTTTTGATCGATAGCCTCCAAGATGGCTAAAAAAAAGCCCCCAGGGTTTCCAAGAGAGCCCCAAGATGGCCCCTCACGAGCTCCAAGAGGGCCCCTAAGACGGCCCCCAACGCGCCCAAGAACGGCCCAAGAGAGCCCCAAGAAGCGGTTTGCAGGCTCCTGACGGGCTGAACCGGGGACCCCCCATCCTTTGATCGA